TGGAGTATTTTTGCGTGACGTCCCTGATAATTCATCTTGCCCTGGTGTACATCAAGGCGTTGCTCTAAAAGAGCAGCTTTTATGTTGAGTAAGTTCATTTTCCGTTGTAGATTGTTCTATCCTCCACTAGGGATATGTTATAGTGTTTTCCGTTGATGTCATTGCGCCACTTTACTTCCTATTAAGATATATCCGTATCACATCTTCAATATGAAACTTATAAAACGAGGAATAGAAAAGAACGGGCCGGGGTGAGTTCCATACGTTATTTACGATGTTTGCTTCGTAAATTCTGTTTTCAAATTCTGTTTTTTTGCAAGCGGATATAATTGCTAAAGTTGGTTACTGCAAAGATTCCTTGATAAATGTTTTTTCGGAGGTATTGAAATAGCTAACCACTACATTACAGATATGTCGCTCTCATCCCGGAAGATTCCGAGGACATGTGGCATATATACAATCTGATACGTGTTGGTGACGTTGTCCGCTGTAAAACTATCCGTAAGGTCAGTTCTGCGTACTTCTCCCATCATAGTTACGATTTAGCTAGTCCATTCCTTTCCTACTTCATCAAAATGCCTTTTCTCAGTATTCGTCGAACCGTGTGCTGCTGTAGTTGGAGGGTAGCAGCTGCTGCAGCACTGCGCGATTTGCCGTTCTCTCAGTGGGGAAGTGTAAGCTTCGCACAGTCGAGCTTTTCACATATCTCGAGTACTTACCCTAACCCTATTTCCTGAGCCGGTACATCTCAACTGGCTCATCTCGCATTTACGTTATTACGCTCGCATTAAGGTCCTCTCGCTGAGGCGACGTAGACTACGACAGTCCGCCTCCTGCTCTCGAACAAGAGCACCTCAGAATTCTATTCTGTATCTTGATAAGCAATATGCGCATGTTTCCGAGTGTAGGACTCTTGCTGTGATGAGAGTTGTGGCTCACGGGGGCGTCAAGCGCCTCTTTCGACTCCTTGACGATCTAGCGTGCATTCCTCTCCCTGACTGACAGATATTCATGAGCCACGGAGAGTGGGTGTAGTTAAGCTATTCATCATTCTGCAAGGTGGTAACGTACGCGGCCACGTCTTTTCTCTGAAAGAAGGGCTGCGCCCGCTTCCCACTTTTTGTTGACGTTTGATATTTGGCCCCTTACTTTCTATGACCAGTTTCCGTAGGTACACATCTGGAATAACCGCTTGACAGTGCCTTCTCGAAAGCTTGCTGAATCAGCGATTCTTCCACATGAAATTGGTCTACTTCAAAAAGAAGGTTCAAATCAAGAAAAATGGCGAAGAGAGAACTTCGGGCTTTTCTGTTCATGCGGTTTGTTGACTTCTGTCAGCCATGAGGCTAGGAAATTCAGCGTTTTGTAGAGCTGTCTAGAAGCTCTCACACATCCGCACTATTGCAGCATCTCTGCTTTTTTTCATTTCCTTTATAACGGCTTAGTTTTAGAACTACACAAAGCGTAATTTGGTCATCTACCCTCTTGCTCTTTGGTTGGCAGAAGTCGAACAACCGGATCAGGCGCGTGTGCTTAGTTGCGGCAACGGTTGAGCCTCGAACCAGTACTGCTATCAACATCGAAATATACTGTAATATATTGTAGAAGCGGCAGTTGATACAAATACATAGTCGTTTCAACTCTGCAAGGAATCTTATTTGTAGGTAGTCACTGAGACATCAACTGGCACAACTTCTAGTCAGCGAATGCACACCGTACTTACGATAAATGTGGAAGCAATTGATTTTGATCCTGGAGCAAATGCTCTTCATCTGAAGGTCAGTTCCTAAAATAGCTCACTTATGAGAACCCATGTATTTGTCATTGTTCCAGTTAGAAAAATTTTCGTTGACACGTTTCTAATTCCATGCCATTCCGTAGGCAAATTTCTTTTCTAAACTGAAGCCTTTCAATCAGTAGGGCCTACAGGTACTGAACAACAGTTTTGTAGGACGTTTGTTCACGTCTGAGATAGTCACATACAGCACCAATAAAGTATGAAAGTTGAAAGATAGTAAAAAGTAAAAGCGAATGGTTTGCAAGACTGAAGCAGACGAAAGAAGAATAGGCTGAAAATTTATTGATAGTCATGGTTTTACCATTGCACAGTGGACCGAAAGCGTTTACAGGGTCGAAACATTCAAGAGAACGATCTGGTGAAACTCGGAGCCTATCATACCCTAGATTTGGAACCTAATCGAAAGTTCACTCTGGAAAAGACTGAATGGGACACAATCGATTTAGGTTCATTTTTCTTTCATGTTTCGTGTGATTTCCTTAGGGAAATCATGTTTTTTGTGATCATTTTCATTTACATTTGGTGGAATCTTTACATGACCTTGTGAACTGCATCTCCAATAATTTTAAGAGCGCCTCGACACTGCACTTGATCCGACTGCTCAGGCAGATGTTGCTGCTGTTGTTCTTCATGAGGGAATGGCTCATGTCTGTCTTCTCACTCCTGCCATGACTTTAGTGCGAGCGAAAATTGATATGCAGGTATTTGTAGTGGTTCATGAATGTCTACTGATCAATGAATCAACTGATGAGCTCTCGTCATTTTTGTTATGTTCAGATTCCTCGAAAACGAAAAAACTTCACTTCTCAGCATGAGAAAGGCATCCAACGGTTCCTCGACGCGGTTTCTGCGGCGTTTTTGCGACACGTCAATTTCAATGTGAGATGCTTACCTTACTGCCTGTAGCTTCAAACTTACTTACTTACTTACTACTTAGATGGCTCGTCTTCACTCCATGTGCGAGCCACCGCACAGATTCCATTCGTTTCGTCCTCTCGCTACCGTCATCCACGATACCTTTCTTCCTTGACGGCCACGAGTTTCCATAGCGGACTTCAGAACGTTAACGAACACGTCGGCCCATCTAATAGGTGGTCTCCCTAGAGGACGCTTGTGGTCTCTAGGGATCCACTCTATTGTCCTTCTCGTCCACCTGTCGTCAGTTCTCCTCATGATATGTCCGGCCCACCTGTGTTTTGCCTTGTAAGCGTATTCCACAGGATCTCTGAGTCGAGACATCACCCTCATATCTGAACTACGAAGTCCTGCTCGATGTTGTGAGCGCCTGTTGTATTTTAGAAGACACCTCTCTACGCTCTGTGCGTTACTCGAAGCGTATTTGTGGTGGCATTCGTATCGGCCCACGTTTCTGCAGCGTAACAGAGCGCAGGAAGCACTGTTTGATCAAAGAGATGGGCTCGCAGGTCTACATCTGAAAGATGGTCAGTGGCCTCTCTGATAGACCCGAATGCAGACCAGCCCGCTCTCTTTCTCCTGTCCAGTTCCTCCTTGAGATCATTGTTCATGTTTATCGAGCGTCCTAGGTACACGTACGAATTGGTTTCCAGTATCTGCAAACCATTTATCGTCATGTGATGTTCTTCGCACCAGGAGTTCTTCATAAACTGTGTCTTCTTCCGATTGATTCGTAGTCCAATTCTACTTCCAGCTTCGTTAAGTTCGTTGAGCATCGTCTCTGCTTCAGTGATAGAATTCGAAAATAAGACGATGTCGTCTGCAAATCGAAGGTTGGATAGGAATTTTCCATCCACTCGTATGCCCCTCTCGTCCCAGTCGAGCGACTTCATGATCCACTGCAACGCCGCGGTAAACAGCTTCGGCGAGATAGTATCGCCCTGCCTGACGCCCTTCTCGATGGGGATGGTTAAAGGACGGTCAAACAGTTGTAGCGTCGTTGAGCAGTGTCTGTAACAGTCAGCTAAGATGTTAACATAGGATGACTCCACTCCTTGGTCGACCAGCGCTGACAGGATGGCGTTCGTTTCGACGCTGTCAAAGGCTTTCTCGTAGTCGACAAAGGTCAGAACGAGAGGCATATGGTATTCACGACAGACCTCTATTACTCTCACGACAGTCTGGATGTGGTCCATGCAGCTGAATCCCTTGCGGAACCCAGCTTGCTCTACTGGTTGCGCTTCATCCAGTGTACTCGAGATGCGCGTTAGAATGATCTTCGTAAAGAGCTTGTAGAGCACGCTCAACAAGCTGATTGGTCGGTAATTACGAAGATCTTCTCTGTCACCCTTCTTGAATAGAATGACAGTGCGCGAAGTTCTCCACTGGTCCGGAATCCTTCCCTTTCGAAGATAGGACGTCATATGGGCTGCCAAAATGGCATGAAGTGAGTGTTTCCCTGCTCTAAGGAAGTCGACCGAGATCTTATCGGGTCCGGGAGCAGTTCCCTTCTTCATGCTGTCGATGGCAACTCGGACTTCTGAGGTAAGGATCGTAGGTGGTCGGGGGGCAGTGGGGATAACAGGGTCTGGTACGGGTGTGGAGGAGCGGAATAGACTTGTGTAGAACGTTTCCGCTATAGATTCCATCTCCTTTCTAGAAGTAGTGAGGGTTCCGTCCTCTCTCAGGAGAGCAGAAAGTGGTACGCGATGATCGGTGAGGTCCCGCTTGCACTTCTTTATACTTGATCTTCCTTGTGCAGCTTCGAGGATTTTTCTTTGCCTGAACTGTCGTATGTCCTCCTGCAGCGCTATTCTGCAACTGGTGTCAGCAATCAGTCGCTCGAGGTGGGTTGCATTCGGATCAAGTCGCAGGCTCCTTTCGCTTACTCAAGAGTTCTCTCGTTGACGTCGAGATGCGTTCGGAGCTCCTTCGCTGAGTAAGAGAAGCCGCATCAGCACAGGCTTGAAGTCCCTCGAGTAGCAATTCGTAATCCTTCGTTGGGTCCTCATCGATCCGCCACAAGTGTTGGGAAAGGCACTCGTTCAAGATGTTCTCATCGTACACGACCGATCTTCTTGTCTTCGGGCGGTGCAAGGCTCGTTTTTCAAGCCTGGTAGATAGACGAATTTTCGCCCGAAGAAGCCGATGATCAGATCCGGTACAGAAAGATGGCACTACAGCGACATCACAAAGGCACCGTCTCCTGTTCGTAATAATGTGATCGATCTCGGCACGTGTCGTGCCGTTGGGTGATTCCCATGTCCAGCGGCGATGTTCCTTCTTCTCGAACAAAGAGTTACCGTGGAAGAGACGAGTCGCGGACATGAGCCCAGCAAGCCGATTTCCGTTTTCGTTCCTTTCGCCAATCCCAAACTGGCCAATCCTGTCTTCTTTTTCTTCCACCTTACCGATCCTCGCATTGAAGTCTCCGACAATGAATTTATAGAAGGACTTCTCGGTGCGGATGACTTCCTCCAGCTGATCGTAGAATGCGTCTAATTCGGAATCATCAGCGCCCATGTGTGGTGAATAGCAGCTGATGATACAGATGGACTTTTGACGCCGCGGCTGAAGACGGAGGATGGCAAGGCGAGGAGAGAGGATTTCGTAGGAGTCAACGTGTTGGACGACAGATGGGTGAACGACGAACCCGACGCCACCGATGTTTCGCGATGGAAACTTCAAAATTAGAGCTTATTTTCTAATCAGAACCGGAACTTGACTTTCAATTTTCGCAGCTTCATAACCCTCTCTATTCGGTAGAATTTTTAATTGTGTTGACAAGCCTTTTGAAAATGTAACGATTGCTGCTTCCAAAATATTACAGCTTATTAAATGCGTGCTTATCGCAAGTCGAGGTTTTCTGAAAGAGCAGTTCATGGATCACCTGCTGAAGTACGCTGAGCCAAGGCTAAAAAGGTATTCAGGAAACAGTTTGAAAATCGCTTTTTGATGCTATGTGTCGCTTTTTTTAGATAACAACTGAACAACGTGCAAAGTTCATGCTGACACATTCTAGCAGTGGTTTTAAACACGCTTTGAAAGAGGTACTTGAAGACCCAGCCGTAGCTATTCGACTAGCTGACACTAAGGTAAGATTTTATGAGTTGAGTTAGACTTCATAAAATGTTCCTTCCTTTCTTGAATCTTTTTGGACTTTAACTCTTTAGGCCTAATTTTCCGAGCTTTTTTTCAGCATAAAACATTCACACATAGGTGGTTAGGGTACGTAGGCAGGTGTGTTTATAAACAAAATAGTCCATATATGCTGTTTGGGGTATACTCAGTAATCCAATGATCGATGTACCGTCGATGGGGTGATCCATATATATTTCTCATTTGAGTCCCTAAAGGGATCCTTCCGGAAAATACTTGCATTCCTTCCCAACTAAGAGTGTCAGTTCTGATCACTGGAGACAATACAAATTTTCACGTACTAAGATTCAGTTTCCAAAGCGAATCAAGCTTACGAGTACCACGGCTCCCAGACAATACCTAACCATTTTGGGCACGCGCAAACGCGGCCGAGTTGATAGGTGCCCGCGAACTCAGCACAGCACTGTTCGCGGGCACCTCGAGTGCGTTTTCAACGGTTCGCGGGCACAATCGACTCGGCCGCATTCGCTGCGGCCGCGCTCAATGGTTAGGTATTGTTTATTGATAGTGGAGAATAGAGACACGTAATAAAATATTAATGGCAGTCGAAATTGAGTGTCCCAGTGGCAAACAGTAACAAAAAAGCCTTAGTAACTGAATTTGCAGCATCGTGCCCCGGAAGCGTTTCCGCGTCAGCATTGAGACAGGTGTCCGGACTGTCTTTGTGACCGCGGTGTCGCAAAAATTGGATGCTTAGCATCCTTCCGGGCGGTATTCAATCCTTCCCCCAGGGGAACCCCTCCTCTGATTCAATCCTCTGGGGGGACAAAAAAGGGTTGCGTCATAGGACCTAGCATACCTCTGTGTTTCTACCTGCCAGACAGTTAGAGCAGCGCTACTACCTCCACTGATGAAGCACTCTTTCCCCTGAGGGGTCGCGCTGCTCTAACTGTCTGGCAGGTAGAAACACAGAGGTATGCTGACCTATGCAACCCTTTTTTGTCCCCCAGAGGATTGAATCAGAGGAGGGGATATATCCCCCTGGGGGAAGGATGCCGCCCCGGTTTTTTCCGAAATTGCTACCAGAACAAATGATAGAGGGTGAGATAGAATCATGATGGGAAGGATTCCTTAAAGCCGCGTTCATAGTTCGCGACTCCACAGATTGGGATAGTGCGCAGACTGTGGAGAAGATTTTATTGACGGGGAGATTAGGATAGTAGTAGATTAGGTTATAGTAGGAGAGTAGGATAGTGCGCTGACAAGATTAGATACGTATCGATTGAAATCGCTGGAGAGTAGGATTACGATATTACGATAGTAGGATAGTAGTAGAGTAGGAGATTAGGATAGTAGTAGAGATTAGGATAGTGCGCTGACAAGATTAGATATGTATTGATCTATTCGCTTGAAGTCGCCCAATCTACTACTCTCCAGCGATTTCAATCGATACGTATCCAATCTTGCGCAATCTCCTACTCTACTACTATCCTAATATATCCTATCGCCTACTATTTTAATCTCCTGAGTAGCGATCTATGAACGCGGCCTTGCTGCTCAAATCATTTCTTACAACATGGACCTATGTCATGAATTGAATTTGAAAACTGAGGACTTTGTCGCAATTCAGTGACTTGTTTTCTGTGGAGAACACGTGAGTTCTCCAGGGTAAAGTAAGAGAAAGTAGGAGATTACAGGTCTTCTCGCTTCATTTAATGCAACTGTTATCCAAAGCTAGCATACTCACTAATCGCTACCATTTTAAGGCACAAGCTGAAGTGAAGGCGCTCAATACTTTCTTCGAACTTATGTCAACAGAGCCAGATCGGGCCTTCTATGGTTACAAGTAAGATTTTTCGAATTTACGGATCTAGTTTATTCGCTTCTCAGTTTTGCCCTGTAAGCATTCTCAGGGCTTATTAAAATGTGAGGTTTGGTCCACTCCGCTCTGATACCTGTACTCTTTCGGCTAGCGCAGTCCTCATATTATTGTTTGATAAAGGTCACTGAGGTCATTAGACCTAGGAAAATGAAAGCTTTTTCTCACGTCCTGGAGTTTTCTTTTTTCCTATGAAATGCTTATGCCTTGAAGTTTACCTTAAATATGGAGCCTGAAAAGAAGGTCGTCCTTCTGTCGTCCATTAATTATTATGAATGGCTCTAGATTAAAAAAGAATGTTACAGACACGTGTTAATGGCCAATAAGGAACAGGCGATTGAGACGCTATTACTTTCGGATTCACTCTTTCGATCGCAAGACCTAGCAACGAGGAAACGTTATGTAGCACTTGTGGAAAGTGTGCGGGAACAGGTGAGAGTCTCCCTGACAGTAAGGCATACTCTCGCAACCATAGCATGACCCTGACCTGAGAGAAAGGTGTTTCCTGCCCTGATCTCACTGATCTCGTTTATTTTGTTGTTAATGTGCGAAATGCATGGCTTAGACACAGCGATGCATCGAAATTTCATAGTAGAGTGGTAGTAGATCAGAAGGTGAAATGTTCTCTTCTTCAGGTCTCATCCAGTAAGGGAGCTTATGGTGCCACAATTATCCTTGACGTAATCCAAGAAGGGAACCCTATTGTGGGTGTAAAAACGGAAGCGAAAGGGTTCACGCAACCCGGGGGTTTCCTCCCCTGTAGAAATGGAGTTCCGTAAGCGACAGCAACACCATACCCTCGCATTGGATGACACTTTTTTATGTGTTTGTCGCACTTCCTTCTGAAATTGCACAACTCGGGTTGAGTTGGTCACCCTAGTGAGGGTATGGGCAAATCACCTTTCTCAGTATCGCACTCCTAATAATTTTATGGGAGAGCCAGGAAATGGGGTCTAGAAGCTGTCATTTTAGGATCATACATATTATCGTTAATTCAGCAATTTCCTGTAGTTTATATGTTTGAACCACTATGCTAGATCACTGAAAATTTCAAAAGATTTCCAGCTTTTTCTATTACAGAATGGTACTGTGCTAATATTCTCGTCAATGCACGTGTCGGGTGAGCAGCTGAGCCTTATTACTGGGTGTGCGGCCATTCTTCGTTTTCCAATGCCCGATATCGAAGACGATGCATTGAGTGATGAGGAACACCCGTAATATCTGCTGAATTCAACCAAAAAATACTATTGCGAAGCGACGAGGGAGAGCTCGAGGATCCTCTTGAAGGATTAAAAATTTAAATGTATGACCTATGGATTGTTAGGCAATTAGGCATTGTTGTTCAATACCATTCATTGCACTCTTGGTCTGCTTATACGTCAGTCTACTCTTTCATAGTAAGTACTATTCGCACAAGTGATGTCAGCACCAAGGGTGGGGTTACCAAAATTAGTCCTGAACTTTTTCAATAAGGCATGTAGACGAAGAAGTCAGTACCACCCACATTTGCAAAGAGAATTACTGAAATAAAAAATGGAGTTTCTTTATGGTATGGGGCTTTATCTAAACTGAGGTCCAGCTGTTTGCCCGATTGCCTTTATGACGTCGGATTTCCTTTTACGCGCAATTGATGCTGATATTACTCAAGGTGGTGCGAGTTATTCTTTGGGTGTATACTTTGTTTCCTTTTGACGAGGTTTTCCTGTAGGTAATCTTTCAGAACGGTGAGTTGCTTGTAGAAGCATAATTTATGTAGGCGATCAGTCGTTGCGGTGCATGGCGTTTGTTGAAGGCACATGGCGCGACGTCCGCCGGTTGTCTTGCTGAATATTGAAGAGTGTTTCAACGACCGAGAATTATCTGAAAACTGTAGGTTTGTGTTCTAGTGTGATGGTTAGTCATTTTTCGACCAGAATCGCGTTCATTATTCGTTTATACAATAGAAAGCTTGTGTCAGTTGATTCGATTACCTTATAGCTTCTCCTATTCCACCTTATATCCTTTCTTACTTAATACTAGTTGAATTGGATGCCGGTTGCTTGTTAACCGGTCGAAATTTTATTGTTGTTGTTAGGGTTGTTGTCAATTTTTCTTTGTTTTGTTGTTCCTCGATCAAGCTTCTCTTTCGCTTCGCTCATCACCACTGTCTTCCTCTTGTGCTATGCCGCCTTTCACATTCTTCTGTGATCGAAGACGTTATTTATTACCAGTTGAGATGGTTTTTGTTCTTAAATATAGTATAAGCTTCAATCATATAATTGAAGGCATATAGAGCCAAATAGGCCGACTCTTACGGGCAGAAATCGCCAAATAAGGGTCGCGACGTGCTTATTATGCGGTGACCTAGATATTGAGTGTTTGGTTACGCAGAAATAAATAATTGTTTCTTCGATTTATTCATCCGATTCGCTGAAGTTGCGAATCTTATGGGATCTAGGGAATATCTGCGAAGTGATTTTCGCGTGTTTTTCGCAATTCTGGAACTCTGGTTTGTTTTGAACAGGTCGGGGCAACTCCCTGCTTACCCTCCCTTTCAAAAGCGAGAAAGTGTCGGGTGCAGACCATGCACCACAAGTGACGACGGCCTTCACAAAATGTTAATGTTTTCTGCCAATGAAATGATTAGCCTGTTGCAGTTGTATTCTATCGATTGTCACTAATTACAACTATCATTTACCAGAAATCAGCTATCACTATGAACAACTTCTAACCAGATTTACTTGGAGGCCGTCGTCAGTTGTGGTGTTTGGTCTGCACCCGACACTTTCTCGCTTTTTGAAGGGGAGGTTACTTACCTTGCGATGTTCCGACAGCGTTCTAAAGATAGAGTACCTGGGCATTTGCTGGTTTCCATGAGTGGTATTGCCGGTAATTTTCAAGCGCTGTAGATGGTTCAGATGGGGAAGAAGGTCACGACTTAAGTGGGACACACCGCAAAAAAAAACAAGATGGTATCCTACTGTGACCTGATCTCATTCTAAAATCTGATTGATGTGTGGCGAACATGAACGGAGTTGGGTAATTTGCGACAACTTTTGTGCGGAATGAAAGGCCTAATGAGAGGTGAATCAACGCATCGTGGTAGTCAAGTGAGGACTTGTGAGTCACCCCCTCAGCAATTCCGGCTACTCCAGATCGACTGGTTTTCTCACCCAGATACCCTCAGCTCTTATCCATCACCGCTGAGACCTTGATGGGGAGATTACGGTACTAGAAAGAAAAACTGAAATGCATACAGAGTTATTAGACTGGGAAGAGAGTGATAAGGAAGTATGTTAATGTTATGATCAGTAACACGACAGGTTAGTTCCAAGGGCGCTATCGCAAGGTATGGGGAATACTTCAGGACTAAACCTAGAGGGGCCAGGAAAATAATCCGCTATTGATAGGAAATGATTGGTATATTTTTTAAACAAGGGAGAGCGACAACAAGATAGTGGGGGATTTCGACTGTTTTTATAATGACCAAAATCACAAATAAAAAAACCGGAGCACCGTAGCGGAGTTGCCACCGCTACTTTTTGAACAAACGGGTTTTTTACACTCCGATGAGTGACCGCAACCGTATTCCATGTTGACGAAAGACTATATAAAAAGAGAGAGTGAATGACAACATTGCAAACTGGTTAACTGCACTATTTTTGTAACTGCTTCACAGCTTTTTGAGATATCTGTTTCCAGGCTGCAGAATTCTTCTTGAATTAGCCTGTTATCTTCCATTTCCCCGAGCGAAAATTGTCAGATAATTCGATCCGTTTGCGTCACCACTGCACTGTGAAGCGACTTATCATAGAAAATAAATTACCGTCCCAAATTTGCTTGCATCACGAGTGTACCGTTGCGTTTTCTCCTCCGAGTACACTGTGCTAAACTCACCTATCTATCCCATCCTCTCCACCAATCACTTAACTCAGGTTTGAAAAATTCAAATCCCTGAGTTTCTCCAGTTCTCCACTATTTCTATGGCAAATACATTATTTTTATTATAAAAAATCTTAAACTGACTACATACATACTCAAGAACACAATACGAACAAGAACACCCATAAAGCCATAAATATGCGCACAGCGCACAATATCACGTAAACGGAAATTACAATCTATAGATTTGGTTTCACATCACAACAGTATTCATTAAATTGGCTAGGCCCATGAGAGTAGGAGAAGTCAAACTAAAGACCACACTTATTCCAACATTTGAAAGAATTCACGTTGAAATGAATCCGAGAAGGGACTCAAAGCATGGGGAGTGTCATATGGCCAATTGGATGGCGATGACAACATCGGATCGTCCAGCAACTTCTGATCTTCAAACAGCGATAGCTCGTCCAATTGGCCTGAGAAGTTGGAAGGGCTGGGATAGCACGCAGATGGAGGACTGCATCTTAAATGAATAACTGAATTGCTGTACCCAATATACGGCTGCCAGAGCCTCGAAAAAGTACATACCGTGGTACGTTCAAGACACTCTCATCCACTGGTGATGCAGCCCCGGAAGACGAGCTAGCTGGCTGGCACAGTTCAGTGCAAGCTGTTGGCTGCACATTGAGCTGCTCCTCCTCTGGCAGTTGCTGGACGAGCTGGTCGAGATCGAATTCGAGGTTCTACAAGAAGGGTTGTCAATGTGAATGGTGAATGAAAAACCCTTTCCGTAGTGAAAAGGTCAGGTCAGCAATTAAACCTGCAGAATTTTTTCTATTACAAAAAGTACACGTAAACAAATTCAATATTTACCTCTTCTGCGAAGTCGTTGAGGATTTTCTCGAGCTCGTCTGACTGGAGCACACCACCCACAGAAGGCTGACCATAAGATGAAACAGGAGATAGAGTGGGACAACCTGTACTCTCGGCAGGAGTCCACTAATGAATGCGGCAGATTCAACAGCCGTCCCACTCTTCTCAGTAATCATCTCGCATGGAATCTCTTCTAACACAACTGGTTGAACGTCTTCAATTTGGCAGGCAACGTCATCAGAAGTGCCTTCTAAGCGAGCCATCAAACTTCGATTCTGTTCAGTTAGTTCGCGATTCTCAGCAACCAGCAGCTCGTTTTCTTGCTTTAGAATCTCATTCTGCTCCAGGAGTTCACGAATAACGTCCTCCAAACGCTGGCTTCGATACTGAAAGTAAACCAATGAGCTTTAAATTTGGAATTTGAGTGTTCCCACTATTTGTCAAAAAGCTCAGAATAAAGTTTAATTGAAATAATCGTGTAAGCTAGAAGGATCATAGCTGTTGTATGCTTTCTGGTGAAATTGCTTTCACGATCTACATTGATTATTTCTTACAATTTTCAATATCATCTCAGCCGCCGTAAACGAATTAGGTACATTTTAATCGCGAGATTTTCTTGGCCAAATCCTTTCAGAACCGACGAATCAAACCACATTCAAAACTGGTTCGTAAGCTGTTCGAATCGGGACCTTCATTCGATGCCAATAACGCTCAAATCCGAAAATGCTGGATCCAAAGCATGCAATCTCTACTCCCTCACTCAGCACAAAAAAGTGCTGAACGCAAAGTCATGCTAACGCCTAGTCGTCCAATAACATACATGTCCGCGATCCCACCTTACACAATTACTTGACGCCACATATATTTGCGGTAATGAGTAACGAAAATTCTCGGAAATGCTACTGATGTTGAAACAATCTTCAGTAGTAGTTGGCTGTCACTCAGAAGAGCTTATCGATTTTTAGACAGACATTCGTTGCTAGGTTTTCACAAATGAGAAGACCCAAGTACTAGAGGCTCAGGATCGATGCTAACGATGCAGCCTTTCGAAAATCGAAGCAAAAAAGAAACAGATACAAGAAAAACGAAACCAACCTTTTTCCTGTCTCTTGCTGTTTGTGCTGCGATCCTATTCTTCATCTTTCTTCTGTTCATCTTCTGCTCATGTGTTAAATGATCCAGACATTCACGCTTACGTTGATGAGGTTGGGTATTCTCTCCGAGCAGAATTTCAATAGGATCAGCACTGAGTGGCCTTTTCAGATCGACACTTAATGGTCGTTTCAAACTGCCTGGAGACTTCTGCATAACAGGCACAGTAGAGATGACTCTTGGCGATGGTGCCAATGGACGTGGAATGGCAATAGTCGGTTGTGCGACGACATCGGCCGGAACCAGGTAGAAGGTACGATGAGTATTCATCATTGAGATACGGTATCGATGATACGGTAGATAAGGTAGCCGTGGGGCTGTGGCCCTCTAGACAGTGGTGAAACCGACCACCTCCCGCCACGCGATCGAGTCGACTAGTACACGTCACCACAACACTGGGCGGTTCACGATTGGTCAATGGACGCGTATCGATCCTGAGGCCCCGCCCACGAGAGACAACGTCAGCTGGTAGGGTGCAGACGAGGTGGCAGTGAAAGAGTTCGCGTGATGGGGAGAGTCGAAAGAACCACCGAAGCGACGAGCCGGCTTCACGGGTGAAAAATTGGGCTAAGGTCACCCACTCATCACGCCTTGGGTTTTTCAGAACAGTATTAACTGTACTCCCGTACTCCCAAACATTTGCAACGTGCTGCAAGAAACCAGTAGGTTTCACGAAGGTGTTTCTTGCAAGTATTTAACGACCGAAACCTCATATGTTAATTGACGAAATCTGAGGCTTTCATCAAAAACGGCGCCAACGTTCCTATTTATTTATGATAATTGTAGTGGAAATATTGGCGCAACGCGGCTCGGGAGGGAACGAGGGGGGGAAGAGGGGGGCGCGAGCCCGTACAACGCCCTGATGATCACGGAGATAAAGCGCCCGTTCTGTAGAGAAGCCTTTTAAGAAGTGAGGGCAGAAGTGTCCTGGCGCGTGGAAGCGGAGGCCATTTTCGGGGGTATTATCTAGTAAGAGGTGGCATCGGCGGTGCTAAAATCTGTGAAAATATTCTATGCTTTACAGGAGCGAGGGTAACCTGGGGCGTCCGTCGGTCCCGCTTGAGCTTTCACACCCACCCCGGAGCTTCCCTCCCCCCCTAAATGTGGATTCCTTAATGCGATACGAACAGTCGTACCACAATGCCTCCCCCTTACTGGATGAGACACCGTTTTCGTATTCGCGCTTGGTCCCTCACGCTTGGTCCCATTTACAGGGTTCCCCCCAAGCTACATTGCGCCAAACTATTTCCTCATAAATTGATATGTTGTAGTTATGGAAACAAGCAGTGGTTGCAATCGTGATTTTGTGGTCCTAAGAAAATAATAGATTGACAAATATTGATTAACGCACAAGTTTTCTCCATTTTTCACTAGCATATGCTAACCTGTTTTGTCAGTGATCCCTTAATGCTCTCTTTCTCCGAATTCCTTACCATTTTTTTTATTACTTCTATTTTATATGTATCGAATGGCCTTCATTGGCTGAACAACCCATGCAGCGCTTATTTGCTTGCTCTGGCGGATGGAATTCAAGCCAAATGAGAATTTTATTATTCCTCAGTGTCAGTTGATCAGGACCGTTCTTGTCCGAGAATGACGTACACATGAAGATTTTGTATTCACGGGACGACATTTTTGCTTGTGATTGTTGACTGCTATTTTTGGCCGCAGTTCGTCCTGCGAAAGATCACAAGAATGCTGGGTTGTGCACAAAACTTTCGCCCCAAGACGCGACCTCGAACACGCACCTCTTCCTTACTGGGCGTGCACTATAAGTTACGCGTTAGCCGACGTCAGCAATCATGTGCTGCTCTGTAGATTGCCATGTGTTTATTTATTTATTTATTTAACGCGTGCACGAATGGTAACCAGTGTCAAGAACGACACTGTTGGGGGCGCAGTCCCTAGAATGGACAAACAATAAAATTAATCATCATGCGGCGAAAAAAAAAACAAGCCAGAATAAGAAAAGTTAAACTGTAATTCCGCAAGAACTAGTTTGCTTTTTTGTTCCTTCAATTAGCAGCATCAATGGCCGCTCACTTCTCCTGAGGTGGCTTGTTTGTTGGAAAAAAAAATACCGATTTTATTTCTCAATTTTCACTCTCTCAAAAATTGTGTTATACACATGCATGCGGATTTAGGGCGGAGAAAAGTGTGTAGTGGCAAGTGGCATCCGCTTAGCCACGAGATGCGGTCCGGGACCCAATCTAAGGTCGTGCAATGTTCAGGAAGTATGGCGTAGGCCATACAGTCGCCATTTTATTCCCTCCGGGGTCGGTAAATTGGTACCAGACTTGTCTGGGAGGATAAAAACACTGACTTGTACATCGGCTGGCCCCCGCAAGTCATTGTATAGGCCACATCGCATTCAAACGCCACTACGAATGTACAAATGGAAGTAGAATGCGTGCCGCATCCCAAAAAGGGATTGATCAACGGCAAATGTACAAAATGCTGCTATCTCTGAGCTTCATTTGATTTTCGATTTGATCCCAAATGTAAATGGTTTATCCCTTTTTATTATCGGATCTGCAAAAAATACATTATTAGTCATGAAATTATTGAAGGAGTATGAGTATTGGCAGAAAAAAAAACCGAGATACGCACACAACGGCCCTTTATTGATAGGTTGAATAATGCCTTAAATGGAAGTCTTACAGTTGTATTGTCCACCTACTTTTCTCCATAAAAACAAGCCAGGCAGTTTCTACCCTCCAAGGTGCTGTGGTACAAAAACAGCAGTTAGATGATCGCAACTGTGAAAGTTTTGGCGATTTCCTATATTTATTCTCTTCCCACAGCGTGTTGCTCGGTTTCTATTACCAGGCTCTAATCAGTCCGCTGTCAGTACACACTCTTATCAGAATGTTGCAAGTCACAATGATAATGAAGGGAGCGTCACGAGTTTCAGCGCGTCCACGGAGCACGTGCACTGATAACGTCTTTAGCCTTTGTAATACCATTTATACGACAGCAGGTGTATCGCAGACAAAGGCTTCCGGGCAGTTTCAAACAGATTCAGTTCACTGTTCGGACCTAGAGGTGGAGGTCAATACATAAGGGTTTCACGTCGCACGCGGCACCTATCATTTCGCGCGCGACAAACTTTAGAGTGCATCCGAGGCCGTAAGGTATGCTTCCCCAAACAGGAGAGGGACCCCTCCCTGGTAAGGTATGCTCTCCCCGAAAACTCTCGGGGAAAGGCCACGCCCACCGGTTCTCGGGGATATCTCCCCGATTGACATGCAATCGGGGAGATATCCCCGTGATTGACATGCAGTCTGGGAGACATCCCGAGAACCGGTGCTATTGCCTTTCCCCGAGAGTTTTCGGGGAGAGCATACCTTACCAGGGAGGGTCCCCTCCTGTTCGGGGAAGCATACCTTACGGCCCCCGTTGTTAGTAGCGCTTCAACTGTAGCTGAGAAAAGCAGCACTAGGATGAAGTTCCGTTCCGCCCTTTGGGCTTTGACGATACCAAGCAAATACAGGATGATGGGCCACGTGTATGGGGCTGTCGCGCTCACGTCCTTTCATTCATATTTTGGTGTTTATTCGATAACAACATCAATATGCGTAGAATACCGTACATATCGCTGCCAATAAAATCCGACTTTGATGTGCATAGGAGCACAGTGAAAGCACTTTTTGAATGTTATATGTGCAATATCTTCTGTGTACTTTTGCGGACAGTGACGGGCTACGGACAATGGCGCGTTTACATTGGGGACGCCTGTACCAACGTGTGTGGGGGCACCAACGCGACGCCCGCTTTTCTGTGAGCTGAAATTTCTCTATGTACAGTACAGTAACGATAATCATACAACGGGGTAGATTTGGATCTCGTCGAAGTGAGGTTGAAGATCGTCAACCGTGGGAGTGGCGTGCCAAACAGTATCTTTGCCTTCCATGTGTGTGAAACGAGGGTGGGAAAGATTTAGTGATAAGTGGCCAATGCTTACCGCGAGCAGGTTCGTGACCAAATTCTGCATCGTATACCAACCAGGCTAACGAAGCTCCCATCCCTACTGTGTCGGTTGACTGATAAAAGGATAAAGCATTTGCCGTTGATCAATCCCTTTTTGGGATGCGGCACGCATTCTACTTCCATTTGTACATTCGTAGTGGCGTTTGAATGCGATGTGGCCTACGGCGGGGGCCTACCAGCCCGTCCATCCCTTCCGGGGTT